GGCTGTGTGCCATTTGCAGAAGCCGCGAGTGTGTTTGGAGACACATTTCTCTGTGGCACTGGGACTACCCTCCAAAGGTCCACTTTTGTGAGAGAAGCAACTGTGCCACAAGGGAAAGGCGGACGCTCCTTCCCACCCGCCCACAGCACTGCGTCGGTGAGCTCGTCGGTAAGCACGCCGCCTTCCACTGCCCCAGCGTCCTTGCCTTTCAGTGGGTTGATCCTGAACACCTTCAAGGGCCTGAGCCAGGAGGAAGCAGCTCATGAATGGGAAGATACTCACCCCAGAGCAGAGCTTTTAGTTGACAGAACATCTGTGAGTTCTAGTCACTGACTAGTTTTGGTTTTTTCTGTGTGTTTCCTGGGTCTTTCCCTCCCGTTCTCTTCTTAGGACCAGCACATCTGTACCACGGTGGTGGCCATCTAAATCATGGCCAGCAATGGGGTGAGTGCCTGGAGCCCCACACCCTGGAGGCTGGGCTGGTTTGTAGCAGGTGTGTGGTCTGAGCTCTGGCACTCTGGGTGTGGCTGAGTGGACCAGGCTGAAGACTGGACCCAGCCTTCCTTCTAGGAAATGTGGAGTTGGGATTGAGAGGGGACAGAGCCTGGGAAGCGAGGGCTCAGCTGCACGCCCTGTGATGGCGCAGAGGGGCCCAGTCTGCAGCGTGGGGGTGTCAGGGTGGCATGTGGTGGGGTCCGGTGTCTGCGGCCAAGCACCGCTCCCGCCCACTGCCCCAACTCCGAGTCTCTGCACACATGCCCTGCTTCCGGCCGTGGCACCCGCAGGTTCCTGAGTCACTCCCACCTCTGCCATCCGACACGTCTTCACGATGCGGGGCACGTCTCAGGGGCCCCACCGTGGGCCCCAGGCGGCTGTGACGTGAAGCGCCCATCCAACCTCTACAAAGGCAGCTTGGCCATTGCAACGCCAGCCTCACTCAGAGAGGAACTTCATCAGACGCATGAAGAGGGCTTGGTGAGTGTCACACGGCTCAGCCAGGCTTCCCTTAGGTCACGGCATGGCAGCCGCTTGGGCCCTTCCAGGTCAGGAGGAGGAGGACCTCGGGACCTGGCAGCGGTTCTCAGCGCTGCTGTTCAGTGTGGGTTCCTCGGAGAGGCTTCCATCTCACCAGGGCGGCCGCCTCTCTTGTGTGCCTACATGTCTCTACTGTTAAAGGAACTTCATGCCTCGTGAGCAGGTGAGGGGCTTCCTGAGGAGGAGGCGTCTGCCTGCATAAGGGCCAACCCAAAAAAGAAGGTTGATTTATTTTGGGTACTGAGGGAGCCTCTCAGAACCCGTGGGATCTTTCAGGTCGTCACAATGATGAGGGGACACAAGTGGTATTGAGCAGACAGGCACCAAGGACACCAGGTCCCCCGCCGGGCACAGGACTCGCCCACAAGGCAAATGCTGTCCCAAGGGCCACGTGGCTTTAGCCCCCACCAGACGTTGACAGGTGGAAATCCTGCATTCAGTGGTCCAGGCCTGAACCCTCATTCTGCTCTCCATGAAATCACAAAGAATTACTTCTGCAGCTTTACATACATCACGTGTCAGAAATGCAACAGTGGAACAGCTAACACTTTGTGACGTTACTGAGAGGTTTTCACCATTTACAAAGTTATATCACATTGCTATGCCGCTCGTGACATGCGAGTCACAAGTGTGACGCTTCCGTGTCCGTCTGCTGTTTGTAGCAGCCACATTTGTGGAGATTTTACATGCACATGTCTGCACACACGCAGATACAGCCACTTGACCCTGATTTCTAAATTGTTGAATATACATAAATTGAATATTGTCTTCCTTCTTATACCCAAACTCATTTATTTCACTGTGTGTGCAGGTATAGCTGTTTTGAAAGTTTTACAAATTGAAATATACATATGTATATATACACAGAGAAAAAAAAATTCCCTTCATTTCTCCAGTGTAGTTTTATTTTATTTATTTATTTATTTATTTGAGACTGAGTCTCCCTCTATCACCCGGGCTAGCGTGCAGTGGCACAATCTCAGCTCACTGCAACCTCCACCTTCCGAGGTCAAGCAGTTCTCCTGCCTCAGCCTCCTGAGTAGCTGGGATTACAGGTGCCAGCACACCTGGCTAATGTTTGTATTTTCAGTAGAGACAGGGTTTCACCTTCTTGGCCAGGCTAGTCTCAAACTCTTGGCCTCGAGTGATCCGCCTGCCTCGGCCCCCCAAAGTGCTGGGATTACAGGTGTGAGCCACCACGCCTGGCCTATTCCTCCGTTATGTTATAGTTACATCATTATACTGATTATTTTTTTTTAAAGTGTGCTCTGTCTGGTAGATTATATAATCCATGTGTAATTTCACTTCAGGATAATCAAGGGATCCTTAAAAATCATTGTTAGGAAATGAAGGCGTTTGTCCATGGGGCTTGGCACGGGGCTGGGGCTGCTCACCTGTGGCCCCCACGCTTGCAGCCAGCCTGTGCCGAGGGCGCTGTCAGTCAGCAGGAAACACACACCGATTCTGAAGACTCACTGTGACAAAGACTCTACAATATCTCATCCATGTCTTCATATTGATTTCACATTGATTACACGTTGAAATGATCATATTTTTGATATATGAGATTAAATCTGATCCACCTGCTGCTGAGTTTATCTGCCACCCACGGGTCCACGGATGTGTCATCTGCTTACTGATTCATCTATCATCTCCCACCTCGCTACCCGATTATATTAAAAGCCATGAGTTGAAGCTGGTGCCTCTGCTGTCAGCCCCGCTGTTTGCCTTAGCCCGTTCCTGGCCGGGCAATCTCTGTCTTCAGTGCATGACACCCATACACCTGGTCCCCTGGTCCCCACCCCCAATGGGACAGAATGCTCCACCCTTGGAAAAGGAGTATGGGGCTGTTAGCACACTGGGCTCTGAGCAGCCCCCACCTGTCCCCACGCCTTGCTCTGGGCTTCCAGGAAGGGACAGGTTTCCTGCCCTTTTGCCCCTCAAGAGCAAGGCCACGGCAGCTCACGCTCCTCACCTGAGCCACACATGGGCACGGGTTTGCTTGGTTTGTGATAACTACTAGGAAAGACGTTTTCCCTCCCTCTCCCATCGGGAGGAGAGAGTCAAAAAACATTTTCCTGGCATTGAAACCATCTGTGCTATGAAAGCCACCAGCTGTGACTTCTCTCCAAAACCTGCTTCCCAGCCTCCTTCTCAGAGCCAGAGCGATTGCTGATAGGAAGTGGAGTGTTATTCTCAGGCTGTACCTGTGGCCCCCCCATTCCTCCACACATGCGTTCCTCCTGAGACCCTACTCTTGTCCCCACCGGGGCCGAGAGGGCACATCTGTCACTGTGGGCCCAGTGGAGATGGGGCAGTCCCAGCGGCCATCCCTCCAGCAGAGGAAGCGGTGGGCAGCTGTCTTCACCTCCATCCCCCTGTGAGGCGGAGAGGGTCCCCATGGCGGCAGCCCAGCCCCAAGGCAGGCAAGCCACAGGCCAGTCCCCATAGCTGTTCCGTGTCTCCTTTATGGCTGAGATCCCTCCGGTCTCCCCTGGCCTTGCAGAGGGGGAAGCTGGGCTTCAGAGGCCAAGCAAACCATCAGGAGACACAGAACAGGGAGGTGGTGGAGCCACCAGGGAAGCCAGAGTCCTCCTGGCCCCAGAGCCTCTGCTGGGAATCCTGGGGCCTTGCCTCGTTTGTGTCAAATGAGACGACAGGTGTGAGGCTGGCCCCCGACATCCCTCCCTCCCTGCCACAGCTCCTCATGCCGACTGTGGCAAACAACCAAAAACAGTGGTGAAGAAAGAGGGGGCGGGGGAGGGGGAAGAAAAGTTTCCAACTCCAGGAGGCAGAGGCGGCAGCTCTGAGTGAGGCCAGGTAGCTCTGGGGCCATACATGCCCAGCAGCGCCTCCCCAGAGGTCACAGGGGGGTCCACATGGGGCCCAGGCTGACCAGCGCCACCAGGAAGGAGGAGCCCCCACTGTGAGGCGCTCCCACCCCTGCCCTCCTGCCGATGTCATTTCTGCCGCCTACCGCCTTTCCCAAGGCAGGACCTTTGGGGCCTGGGGCGGCCTCTGGGAAGAGTCCAACGAGGACAGTGAGTGCCTGCCGTGACCCCTCCTGGCCGCACGCTGCAAGGAGCTTCTCTGTGAACCTGCCCCGCCCGCCGGTCTCCCATCTGTGAACCTGCCCCGCCCACTGCTGTCCCATCTGTGAACCTGCCCCGCCCACTGCTCTCCCATCTGTGAACCTGCCCTGCCCACTGGTCTCTGTCTGTGAACCTGCCTCGCCCACTGGTCTCCCATCTGTGAACCTGCCTCGCCCACTGGTCTCCCATCTGTGAACCTGCCCCGCCCAC